TGACATACTAACGCTAACCGATACACAGTATCACTCTCAACTATTTTACATACAATGGAAAGAGATTCCGATCCCGAAGTAGAATCTGACAATTTCTACATAATAGTATCCTTTTGACGATGGAAGCTGCCGAAACAAAGTTGGATTTACTGAAATTTGGGCTACATAATTATAAAAATTAGCATATTTCCCTTGACCGTATTCTCACCTTACCAGGAAGAAATTGACATTCCTTTTGAAGAGGAAATATTACGCAACCCTTTTACTTTAAAGTCTTGGTTGCGTTATATAGATCACAAGTTGGAGAAGCCTTTAGCTCAGCAGATCTGGATCTACGAGCGTGCGCTGAAAGAACTACCGGGATCATACAAAATATGGAAAAGATATCTTGATTTACGAATGAAACACGTAGATGGTTTAAATCCCGTTAGATATGAAAAAGAATACCAGAAAGTTAATAACTGCTTTGAAAGAGCTCTTGTATTGTTACACAAGGTATACCGGTAACTACCTGATTTCCCTGTCAAAACCCTTTTTCTTTCTACACTTGCTTATTGTTAAATCAATTGCAGATGCCACGCATATGGTTAGAGTACTGTACATTTCTCATGAAACAATGTATTATAACGAAAACTCGTCGTACTTTTGATCGTGCTCTGAGAGCTCTTCCCATAACCCAACATCCGAGAATCTGGGAACCATATCTAAAATTCGCCAGAACAATTGGTGGTGAAACTGCAATTCGTCTGTATCGAAGATACTTGAAGGTGAGGAGCTTTTTGAAATTGCGGAAATATGGTGAGATTTTGTTTCTTCTCATTCACATTTTTCAAGTACTTGAATCCGATTAGGTAGGATAATTTGAACAAGTATTCCAAGACGCGACTATAAAAAGAATATTATTTTTCGCGTTTATCCAAAATGCACACTATTCACAGGGTTGGTTTTTGATGACACGAAGCTTACACCTCTGTAATTGGTTTTGATAATAATAGTTGGAACCAAATCATGTAGAAGAGTACATAGATTTACTATTGTCACTCGAGAGATACGACGAGGCAGCGAAGAGACTTGCGCAGGTAGTTAATGATGATAATTTCCAATCATTGCACGGAAAATCCAACTATCAGTTATGGATGGAGCTGTGTGATCTAGTATGCAAACATCCACACGAAATCAAAAGCTTGAAAGTTGAACCAATTATAAGAAGTGGAATTCGAAGATTTACTGACCAAGTTGGGAGATTGTGGAACTCATTGGCAAGCTACTATATTAAATTGGGACATTTTGAAAAGGTATACTTTTGTCGTATATATGTTTTAAAGTTAAAAAAGCTTTGCTAACGGTGATTTTTTTTTTACAAGGCACGAGACGTCTACGAAGAAGGAATTAAGACAGTCATGACAGTTAGAGACTTTTCTCAGATATTTGACGCCTATGCAGAATTCGAGGAATCAGTTATGTCAGCTAAAATGGAAGAAGCCTCAGAAAGAGTAGCGTCGGGACGACATGACCCGTTGGCAGATCTCGAGATAGATTTACGCCTTGCTCGGTTTGAAGAATTAATGGAACGTAGACCATTTCTCGTGAATGATGTTCTCTTAAGGCAAAACCCAAACAACGTGCACGAATGGATTAAGAGGGTGAACCTGTGGAAAGACAATGTCGAAAAGGTATACAGAATGTCACTAATAATTACCGTTGCTTACATCATCAAACAGCAAATTCTCATCATATCAAGTGTACCCCACTGTGAATAGGTTGTAGAAACTTATACAAAAGCAATCCAAACAATAAATCCTAAAAAAGCCGTTGGCAAATTACATGAATTGTGGATTGCATTTGCCTCATTCTATGAAGAGGGAGGAAGTCTCGATGATGCTCGTACCATATTTGAAAAGGCAACAAAGGTGAATTATAAAAACGTTAACGACTTGGCGACGTTGTGGTGTGAATATGCCGAGATGGAGCTACGCCACAATAACTATCGGCGGGCTTTGGATATCATGGCACGTGCTACGACACCTCCGCGTAATCCGAACGTTAATTTCCGTGATGAGGTTTGTTTTATAAAGTCTAGACTATTGAAACTTGCTAAATCATTTAATAATCCAAAAAATTTTTTTCATAGACACTTCCCGTACAGCTCAGAGTATTCAAGTCTCTTACGCTTTGGTCATTTTATGTTGATTTGGAAGAGAGTGTTGGGACTGTAGAGACCACGAGAATTGTTTACGATAGAATTCTCGAACTCAAAATCGCCAACCCTCAAATAATCGTCAACTATGCCAATTTCTTGGAGGAGAACAAATATTACGAGGAGAGCTTTAAAGTAAGTCGATAGCAGCAGCTTGCAAATATTTGCATAATACAACTGTTCTCATTCGATAACGTATTTAGGTATACGAACGAGGCATAGAGCTATTTAACTACCCTATAGCTTTTGAAATATGGAATACTTATTTGACAAAGTTTATTAAGCGTTATGTAAGTACTGTCAAATTCCGAAAATAGAAATAGCCGTATGTTTATTCAGGTTTTTTACTGTACAATTGACGTGTCTGCATGCGGATTTTGCAGGGAGGATCGAAATTAGAACGAGCTAGGGACCTTTTTGAACAAGCACTCGAAAAATGTCCGCCCAAATTTGCCAAGCCGCTCTATCTAATGTATGGTAAACTCGAAGAGGATTATGGATTGGCTCGTCATGCAATGCGTATATACGACCGAGCAACAAGTGCTGTCTCGGACGAAGATAGATTCGAGGTGATTCTTGACGCGTACGCTTGTATAATTTCTCTGTTCAACGCATACTCACGTGTTTCTTCAACTAGATGTTCAACTTGTATATAGCCAAAGCGAGTGCAAACTTTGGTGTCACTTACACTCGCGAGATATATGAGCACGCGATAGAGGTCTTACCTGATCGAGAAGCGAAGGAAATGGGGTTAAAGTACGCCGAGTTGGAGCGAAAGCTGGGAGAGATCGATCGTGCTCGCGCCTTGTATGCGCATGCATCTCAGTTCTGCGACCCGAGAGTGAGCAATCAATGCAATCTGTCAACTATATCTTTTGCATCAGATATTTATAAGATATTTTTAACTTGCTATAGATTGATCCTAATTTTTGGCAAACGTGGCATGACTTTGAAGTTAAACATGGGAATGAAGATACATTCAAGGAAATGCTTCGTATTAAACGCAGTGTGCAAGCACAATATAATACCGAGGTATATTATAATCATGGTTACTTTGAATACTGTTTGGCTGGTCTATCATGTTAATGTTTAACCATAATAACTCTTTCATATTAGGTCAACTTTATCTCTGCCCAAATACTTGCTAATAGACAAGTACAGCAACAGCAGCAGCAGCAGCAGCAGCAACAACAACAACAGCAACAAGAGCAGAATAATATGGGGGTAAATAGTTGTTCATTATACGACAGTTTGTTTTTAGTTTTTTGTTTGTTTTTAGTTTTTTGTTTGTCTTTAGTTGTTTGTTTGTTTTTAGTTTTTTGTTTGTTTTTGGTATCCATTACATTTATGATTAAAACAATCGGCTTTTCCATCGCCAGATCAATTTTGTTTCCGCTCAACTGACTGCCAAGCAACAAGCAGCACCTGCAAACCCAGACGAAATTGCCATGGATGACGACGATGACTTGTAATCAAACAAATGAATAAAAAATCAAAGTTCCGTTAAAAACGTTATAACGACTGTCATGTGCCAGTTCCGATTGCTTTCATTACTTAAAATTCAAAATAGCGCGCGTTTAACACATGTCATGTATGTTCACTTTGTCCGTTTTTGTTGCAGCATGTCCCAATGTTGATATTTTACGTTATGATGTGTGCAAATGATCAACATTGATAGTAGCTTAAACCTAGTTATTATAGTACGCTAATTTTAAATTGTTAATTCAAATGGAAAACTAATTCGACAGCTTGTAATACGAGTAGTTGAAATAGAATAAATTCATTTCGGAAAGAGCTATCTATAATGTGTATTG